GGGGGGGGGGGGGGGGGGGGGGGGGGGGGGACGGTGAGGTGCTCAGCGGTGGCAGAAGTCGGGGGCAGGAGGTAGCGGGATCACCGGAGGGGATGCGACGGCTGGACGAAGGCAGATTACTCGATTGAAGGAGGTTACCAATAGCCTTCGCGCAACAAAATGCGGAGGTGCTGTCCTGCCGATTGTTGCTTTGCTGGTTCCCACTGAAGCGACAGAAAAGCATTGCCGCAGCACGTCACATGCATTCGGCCAGCCAACAGCAGCAAGCTCTTCGCCGTTGTTCTACACAGCTACGCAGGCATCATCACCCTTTCACACACTTCCTAGCGAGATAGCCTTCGGTGGTAGATCCAATTCGGAAAGGTTGAAAATATCCGGCATGTGGTACTGCACTGCACGTGGAAGTATTGCCTGCAGGAAGGAGAAAATTCCGCACTATCGCGGCAAGAAAAGGATGCAAATTTCCGCGAGCTCGGCGCGAGCGTCTCCCCAACGACTGGCGTTTTTCACCCCGCCGAACGAATTTCTTGTGCCGAAGTGTTCGTTGGCGGTTCTACAATCGAACGCGCCGTGTGTACGTAAGTCAAGGCGTGTTGCATGACAACAACGAGGGTTAGATACATATCCCGTATTAAATCGAAGGAGCTCGTTTGTTTTGATACCTTCGAACTCATAATGTGGCACCTCGTTGAAGCGAGTGATGACGCAACTCGAATTTACTCAAAACCGATCACGCTGACAACACACCAAACCACTTAGTGACTTCTTTAATTTTCAGTTTCAGGGACGCAATATGCGCTCCAGCAAATGTAGCGCACGCATGTGTCACCTGCGAAGCCGGACGGTCCGGACTTTCTTCTGGTATTATACTGTAAGCCAGTCGCGTTTGTGTTGATTTCCTGGGTCCCTCCGGATGTTCGCCCCACTTGTTGGGCGATTTTGTACTAATACATACGTGGTGCTCTACCCTGTGGGGATTGGCATGTAACCTCGAAACTACCACAGTTTGACCAGTGCGGATGCTAGAAGGTACCGAACAGAGATCCGAACGAATATCAACGTGAAGACTACACCGAAACAATTATAACAGCAGTAAATAGAAGTACTACACGTCCGAATATACCGACAGAAAACATTAGTCTACAAGTAATCAAGTATACATGTTCATTTCCAACTTACCATCCTGAATACCGGCCGAGCCTCCCGTGCTGTCGATGACGTAGACGAGAGCTCTCGCCACCGTCAAAGACTTCTCCCGCACGATGGTGCTGCTCGGCTGCACCTCCCATACGTTCAGCTTGGTGCCGGCGTATACCGCCCTTTCCACGTAGAAACCCTCGATCCCCGGTGTGGGCGTCAGCAGGGTCTCGCCGTGCTTTAGATGGAACAGCGCCGAGCTCTTTCCTGACCCCGGCCGCCCCTGCCGTCAAAGATGTGGAGCACATACAGAGGTAATAGGTTGTGCGCTAGTGGTACTGGTCCTCATGGAGGGGGGGGGCTTGACTCGCACTACGAGCGACGCCTGGGTCCTCCCGTCCTCGATTTTCGAGGAGTTTACGTTGTAGCGGAAGAATTTTTTTTTTCCCGCTGTTTCCACTGCTATTTGATGCGGTAGTACAGAACCTCCTTCATGCTGCGTTGATCTATCCGAGATGTTGGGGGGGGTGTCAAACGAGCAGCGGTGCACACCGTGTGGGCTATACAGTACACTATTGGTTCTGTCGTCCGTGTCCGCGTGCAAGGTGAGCACATACATGTTCCGCGCATGCATACACATGGCGTAGACTACAAGCAATTCTCGGGGGGGGGGGATATGAAGGTCTGCGCGAGACCCATCACAAAAACCGGGCGCCCGTTCACCACACACCTGCTGACGGTGGTTATGCACGCGTAAACGGGAGGGAAAAGGCCGTATCTGCTGCGGCGTGGAGCGATGCACCTCTGTGTGTACGTTGTTGTTAATACTGACTCTAAAACGGTTGTTTGGATACTTGAAAGTATTCGTACCCCCGCCCGCCGAACGCAATCTGACAAGACTCGTATGTCTAACTAGCCAATTTACCAACCTCAAGGATGACTTGCACCTCCTTCCTCATGGAATTACCCATGGCTTCGCTCTCCCACCAGCCGCGAACACAACCGCGGGCAGCTGACAGATGATGACGGAAGCAGAAAAATACTAATATTGCAGGACAAGCAGTTCTACGGTTGACCCTGTGTCGAGTTCATCGATCTCCGGAGATCAGAGAAAGAAAAAAAAAACGCAAGAGCTCCACGCCAGATTCGAGGACAAGAAGACAGCGACAGAGCCAACAAGCCGTATCCCAATCACGAGGGTTGCACCTGGGCCTCGACAAACAACCGAGCCGCCCCTCTTCTATATCCACACGGCGGCATACACGCGACCAAGATCCTTCACAACGTGCACCAAGTTCATTTGCCAGGAGTCAAGCACCGACAGCAGAGCAAAGGGGCGCGGACTTCCGTCTCGAAATGGCACCACGGTTGATTCCGCCGCTTCTGCTCTTCACCCTACTGGGGCGCCGCGATAATGTGCGCGCCTCAACGGTGCTTTTCACCCGGGCTACAAGGTTTGTTGGATGCGTTATCCAGCGAGTTGAGGGAGTGAGGGTGGAAGATAGACAGCGGAGGGGGCGTACGTTGTTACATAGGGGGGAAAACGACCCAGGACTCGGGAAAAAAGTGCGGTGGAATTGGGTAAAACAGGTCAGAGAGAGGTTCATGACGTGTCGACTTGGCCCTGTTCTCGCTGCGATGCCTGCCAAGAGCATGCTTACCGCCTCGGTGTTGGTTTGCTGTAGCTCGAGTTTGGGTATGTACGGTCGGATGGGTGGGTTGACATGAGCGATTTTCTCGGGTTATTTTTTTCTGTCTCGTGTCCTTGGGGGATGTCATCACGGCAAACTGTCACCAAACGTGTTCTACCGCAGAGGTGTCGACGCAACACCAGTCAGAAAAAAACGTTGGCTTTTTATTCGAGTCGCTGCCTTGGTTTCAGAACACCGACATTTGTTTGGTCGTCCTCAACACCGGCATTTTATCTGAGCAGCCCGCCATTTCCCCAACATCTTGGGAAAGGTTCAGCTATTTATAAAACAACTGTACTGCAGCAGTGCTACTTAGTTTGGTTGTTTCGTAATTTCCTTCCCCTTCCTTACAATTTTTTTCCCTCCCGCTGTTTCTTGCCACCCCCCCCGTCCAGGCAACCCACCGCTGCGTTTTCCGAGCTAGCATTTGCGGTGCCACCGCCGGCGGCGGCTCGACCTCCAGCGCGTAGCCCGGCCGGCGGGGCGTGGACCAGCCGCTCCTCCAATAGAGTGGTTTCTTCGACGACACGAGGAGATTCGGAACGAAGCGGGGTCTGCCCGCTGGCGCTGACGCGGCGGGGACGGGCTGACACCACCGCGACCGCGCCGCCGCCGTCATCTTCGCTATGGTGCCGGAGGAAGAGCGCCGTCGCTTCCGCGGCAGCGGCGGCGACGGCGGCAGAGGCAGAGGCAGAGGCAGAGGCAACGAGGGCAGCCCCGGTCCGCTTAGAGCCACTGGACGCCGGCAGCAAGGGCGGGCGGAAGGGAGGCGGCAGCAGCGCAACGGCGGCGCCATCGCGCCAGCATAAGAAGAAGCCTCGGTCGTCGCCGCAAAGGAAAGGATTGTCGCCGGCCGCGGTGGCCGCCGCCATGGATCCTTACCCCACAGGCTCGGCGTTCGTCGCGACCCCGATGACCACCGCCGAGAGTGGCGGCGGCGGTGCCGACCAAAAAGTGGATGCCGTGGCTCCTCGTGCAGCAGCTGCTGCGCCTGCCGCCGCTCGGAGACCGAGGAGCAGCAGCCACACTCCCAACAGACGGACGGGAGGAGTTTACACCCGCAAGACCGCTCGCAACCGGAGGGGCGAGGGTGCCAAGAAGCAGAGGTACGGGGACGTGAGCGCCAAGAGGGCGAAGGCGTTGAGGACCGGCGGCAAGGCGTTCCTGATCGTTTGCGACGCCGAGAGCATCACGTCTCCCGAGCTGCTGGAGAGCATCGACATCCTGGACGAGCTGGGGACCAGGGACGTGGGCGTTATCTACGCCGATTGGAACAAGACTCTGGTAAGAACGGGAGGGCGAGGGAAAGGCGTGGGGTTTGGCAGAGTGAGGAGAGAGACAGACAGATGGGGAGGATGGGGGGGAGGGGATGTGCGCGGCAATGCACCTATGTAACCCCACAACGGCCGACATTGATATCGCTTACTGCGATCACCAACTCCTTCGTGACAAAGCGCATGTCGTGATCACCCCGGCCTCTCAAGCTCAGAATGTCTTGTGGCGGACCCCCCCACAACAACGAATTCAGCAGCAACCCACTTGAGAGTAAACTCAGGTAGTACTTGTATAAGCTTTTTTAGTATTTGGCGGCCAGTCTGTTTCGCCGTCACATCGTTCAGCACCCCCTCCAAACACAAACACAGACATGACCCCCCCCCCGCCCTACATGCAAATATCCCCCCCTTGCGTACTTGCACCTTTACCGCATTATGTACGTGTATTCTATACCCCCCCCGACTACTAAGGCATGCACGACTATTAGTACCCCCCTCCCCTCCCGTCCCGGTGTTTGCCATTGGGGTTGGGTTTTCGTCGCTTGGCAACGACGTTGTAAAACAAGCCAATTCACTTCGTGAAC